TTGTTAAATATGAAAGAAAATGAAACAAATCATTAGACGCTTAAATTTAAATCACATTTAAAATCGGTACAAGTTATAGGAACAACCTTTATAACATAATTATATAAGATTATTATATGTTATACAATAATATTGCATAATATTATTATATAATATATAATGTTATTAATTTTCCAGCGAGGACAGTAAGCTGTGTTAAAAAGAATATTATATTGAGTTTAAGATCAATAAGGTTTTCATTTGCTCTTTGTTGTGGCCTAGTTAGGGCCAGAAATAAAGACACCAGAGAGGAATTGAGTTAAACAAATATATGAACAGAAACAGTAATACAAACATATACAACAGAGAGTGTTACAGCAAGAATGTTTGGCCCGACGGTCAGAGCTGACTGCTGGAAACTTCTCTCTCCAAAAGGCAGTACCTGCTCCTATTTATAGCTGAGAGAGTCCAGGCGTACGTGGGTAAATTACCATAGCATCCCCCCTCCTAAGTATTAATTATATAGAATTTAAGATCAATATGATTTTACTTTGCTTTTTCTGGAATGGAGTTAATATGCTGGTAAAAGGCTAATACAGGATTTCAATCCTCATTATTTAACATTTCTTTTTATTCAAGTCTTGACTTTATAAATAACTCTCGGTCATTTTGTGGTGTGACTGGCTCCTTCCTCTCCCGGTTTGTAACGCGGAATCTACATTCTCGTCTGCGATATGCGAGAGACTGACTAAATCATCTCTTTATATAACATTTTCGTTCCCAGGCTTGCATTACTGACTGCAGGTGTGAAGTCAGTTGCTTCTAAATTGGTTGGCCAGAAGTAACTCCTTGTTTCACCTGGTTCTTTGATAATTTGGTTTGGCTTTATACATGATGACTAATATCCCTTCTTATTCAAGATCTGCATGGTACGTTCGATGAAAAAACAAAAACAAATTAAGAATCGCAATAAAAGATATGCTAATATTCTTTATGTGCCGTATCCCCTCAGTAATTAGGACACGGCTCTCCACAATTTTCTTGCCTTCGAAGATCTTCATAAACATTGTCTTTCTATTATTTCTCCTAAACCCCTGATCTATTATCCGTTGAGTCAAGCTCACTAAGTATGTTGTGCCCTGTTTTCCTCGGCACCTCTTGCTGTCTGTTTGTCCTGTGCGTATCAGATTTAAGAGATTATCAAATTAAATAAGTAAAACCTTCGCAAGAAACGTAGTGTTAAATAATTTATTGACTAAACATTTCATCAGTAGCTTCTGTTTAAACAGTGAATTCTGAAATGATTTCTGAGTACTGCAACATCTGGATCCAGGCACTTTTTCCAATTTAGCACTTGGCTATCAAAAGTAAAAACAACCATGGAAATTCTTTTAAAAACGATTCTGAATGTAATTAAGTAAACCCTTCGCAAGAATCGTAGTGTTAAAGAATTTATTGACTAAACATTTCATCGGTAGTTAAAATGTGAATTCTGAAATGACTTCTGAGGTCTTCAACACACGGACTGTGGCTCTTTTTACAATGTAGCATTTTGCTATCAAAAGTAAAGAAATCCTTTTAAAAAGAAGTCATTACAAGAAACAGAGTAATCATCTTCATGATGTAGGCGATCATGTCTCTCCGCACATTCCTGTCTCTTATAGCTCTTAATAAACTTTGTCTTTCTGTTTTTTATTTTCCATACCCTGTTCTGATATCCATTTAGTCAAACTCACTAAGTATGCTGTGCTATATCTTTTCAATTTGCCCTCTGAATTTCTATTTGTCCAGCGTGTATCAGATTTTCTATGATTCTCAAAGTAAATAAATAAAACCTTTGCAAGAAACCTAGTGATAAAGAATTCATTGACTAAATATTTCATAGGTAGATTCTGTTTAAACTGTGAATTCTGAAATAACTTCTGAGTTCTGCAATGTCTGGAATGAGGCACTTTTGTCAATTTAGCACTTGGCTATAAGACGTAAAAACAACCAAGGAAATCCTTTTAAATACGAGTCATTGCAAGAAACGGAGTAATCTTTTTCATGATGTAGGCGATCATGGCTCTCCACAATTTCATGTCCTTCGTAGCTCTTAATAAATTTTGTCTTTCTCTTATTTCTCCCAAAGCCTGATCTGTCATCTGTTGAATCAAGCTCAGTAAGTATTTTATGCGTTGTTTTCCTCTTCCCCTCTTGAGGTCTATCTGTCCTCATGAATATTAGACTTAAAAGGAATTCATTGACTAAGGAGCACATCGGTAGCTTCTGTTTAAGATGTGAATTCTGAAATGACTTATGAGATCTGCAACGCATAGATTGAGGCACTTGAGCCAATTCAACACGTGGCTATCAAAAGTAAATACAACCATGTAGATCCTTTTAAAAACGAGCTATTACAAGAAACGGAGTAATGTTCTTCATGATGTAGGTGATCAAGGCTCTCCACATCTTCCCTTTAGCTCTTAATAAACTTTGTCTTTCTCTTATTTCTTCCAAACCCTGATCTGTCATCCATTTAGTCAAGCTCACTATATATGCTGTGCCTTGTTTTTTGTCTGTCCCTATCCTATATTGCTCTCGATCTGTCCAATGAGAGCAAGAACCTCAATATTCCACCAACGATGACCAAAACCTCCAAAAAAAAAAAATAAGGGATCAGTTTTTTACATAGATAAGTAAGAAACTGAAGCTCTACACTTTTCCTCATTTTCAATATATACATTATATATATATATATATATATATATATATATATATATATATATATATATATATATATATATCAGGTCATCCCATAAGTTCTGTCCGAATTTTGAATAAAGAAAACAAGTGACCAAATGTGACATTTAATTACAGATTCAATCAACAATGTATTTTTCCTGATTATCTATGACTTCCTTCCATCTATTAACAAGCTTACTAATTCCATTACTGTAAAATTCTTTTGGCTTTGATTCGAAGAACTCACAAATGTCAGTTTTAACCTCTTCCTGTGTTACAAAAGCTGTTTCTTCCAAATTATTCTGTAAGCTACGAAACAAATGGTAGTCTGAAGGAGCAAGATCGGGAGAATAAGGTGGATGAGGAATTTTCTCGCAACCAAGTTCTTCGATCTTTTGTGACGTGTTTCTTGCTGTGTGGTGTCGCGCATTGTCCTGATGAAACATCACCTCTTTTCGATTCACTAGAGCAGGTCTTTTTTTCCTCAAAGCTTGGTTCAAACGCTCTAATTGCTGACAGTATATTTGAGCATTAATTGTTGCATTATGTGGTAAGAATTCAAAGTGGATTATTCCTTGGCGATCTCACCAGATTGAAAGAAGAACCTTTTGCCAATGAAGTTCTTTTCTCGGCTGTGGCTGGGGTCCTTCCCCTTTACCAAGCCACTGTCTACGACGTTAAATATTTCGATAAAAGATCCA